AGAAAATCACATCCTAGATGAAGTTGCATCTCAGGAAGAAGAAGGGATGAAGTTGCATCTCATGAAAGATGAAGTTGCGTCTCAGAAAATCACATCCTAGATGAAGTTTCATCTCAGGAAGAAGAGGGGATGAAGTTACATCTCAAAAAGGACGAAGTTGCGTCTTAGAAAATCATATCTTAGATGAAGTTGCATCTTAGGAAGAAGAAGAAGAAGGTATGAAGTTGCATCTCAGAAAAGACGAAGTTGCGTCTCAGAAAATCACATCCTAGATGAAGTTGCATCTTAGGAAGAATAAGGGATGAAGTTGCATCTCAGAAAATGAAGTTACATCTTAGAAAATCACATCCTAGATGAAGTGGCATCTTAGGAAGAAGAAAAGATGAAGTTACATCTAAAAGGAAAAAAAAAAAAAAAGAAGAAGAAAAGAAGGACGAAGTGTGCGTCTTGGAAAAATCACATCCTAGATGAAGACCACATCTCAAGAAGAAAAAAAGATGAAGACCACATCTCGCAAAAAGATAAGATGAAGACCACATCTATGGAAGAAGGAGAGATGAAGACCGCATCTCGCAAAGGATAAGATGAAGACTGCATCTTAAAAGTCACGTCCTAGATGAAGACCGCATCTGAGGAAGAAGGAGAGATGAAGACAGCATCTCGCAAAAGATAAGATGAAGACCGCATCTTAAAAGTCACATCCTAGATGAAGACCGCATCTGAGGAAGAAGGAGAGATGAAGACCGCATCTCGCAAAAGATAAGATGAAGACCGCATCTTAAAAGTCACATCCTAGATGAAGACCACATCTGAGGAAGAAGGAGAGATGAAGACCACATCTCGCAAAGCATAAGATGAAGATTGCATCTTAGAAGTCACGTCCTAGATGAAGACCGCATCTGAGGAAGAAGGAGAGTTAAAGACCGCATCTCGCAAAGGATAAGATGAAGACCGCATCTTAAAAGTCACGTCCTAGATGAAGACCGCATCTGAGGAAGAAGGAGAGATGAAGACCGCATCTCGCAAAGGATAAGATGAAGACTGCATCTTAAAAGTCACGTCCTAGATGAAGAC